AGCCGCCATCATTGCAGGAGGACTTTAACGAGTGGTCACCAAGAAGCTTCCCCAAATCCTACAAGAGGCTCAGGTAAGAATACATACGTACATTAACCTCAATATCTACTTGATTAATTCAGTTATCACACTTTCCTTTTGAACCAATATATGCACTTTCAGTTGAGGACACTCATCTTGCTAATTAAATTGTGTGAAAATCTTACATGGGCAGTTTAATTGTGTGATTGCTGAGTGGTCCAGTGAGTAGTGCTTCTATAAGCAAGGGAATGATAGAATGATGCACGATTCTGCAGGTTAGACGAGCCGCTGACAAAGACACACCTCTATTCTGAATTTTTACATGCGAAGATGGACCATCAGCTACGGAATATGTTGGCTAACCTCTCGCAGGTTGCTAACAATTTTTTTCTTATTGTCATCTTGGTAATTGACATTGGTGGTATTGTCTTTTAGTTCAACAGAAAGTTGTTCAAGTGAAAATTCAGAGGAACATGTGGAACAAAAGACATGGTATAAAAAGGAAAGGAAAGACTAAACAGTACAATGATGCAGGTTCAGGTTTCATATGTTGTCTTCGCTGCCTCATGAATATGCTAGCATGGTTGTCTTCTAGATTATGCACATGTCTTTGTTTGCCATATACTGTCAACGCATTGTGTAGTATGTACTAATTCTAGGGAGACCGATCTCATATTGTCACTCTTAAAAAATAGTATTTGTAAGTTTTTGTGTGGTTTTAGCACCTCAGTTAAGAAATAAATATTAGCCTTCTCTAAAGAGGTTTGTTGCCTTGATTTTTATAACTCTATTAATTTATGTTAATCTCCTTGCATAGAACTTATGTTGCATTACTCTCCCATTGCTGTTAGTGGCCCTCTCACAAGAGATTGTTGTAAATACTCAATATGTGTTTGATGTCAAACAATATCCAATCTACTACATGGTGTCTCAGTCTCAAGTTCATAATTTCTGCATCATTTGAATTGTATACAACAAGATACAGAAGCAGTAGGTCTCCAGCCAGCACAAAAATGCAGACTTGATCTATTTCTGTTCGTTAATACATCTACTACAACCTACAAGTGACCCTAGCTAAGAAAACAAAATCAAGGACCGGTGTACTTCTGACATTATTTCTTATTAGTATCAAATTAGAATAACATTGATGGAACATATTCTTTTTCTCTCCTTGCTTGAGTTAATGGAGTACAGTATTGCATTTTTCTGAGATGATCTGCTCGATGCAGGTTTGGAGCCGACCAAGGAAGTCACAGTTTAAGAGCTCGAGGAGGGGTGTGTGGAGGTTGCCGGCGCCAGTGGCTGCACTGCTGGTCTTCATCGCCTGTTTCGGTCAGATCCAATCGGACCTATCCTATGGGTTCTCCACCGCTTCACTCTGCTTCATGTGCATCTGGGCGGAGAAGATGACCCGACCTGCCTGGTCGCTCAACACTGCCTCCCTGCCCCTGTTGTTCGCCAGCCACACTCTCCCTTATGCGGTAATGAATCTCAAGAAATGCCCTTTCCTTTACAGAACATCAAACCTACTTTTTTGTTTGATGTTGGTGCATGTCCTGCCTGATATGTGTGTTGGGCTGCTGATGTGCGATTGCTGGTTGTGTTGCTACTTGTGTCAATGATTATTTTGCTAAAGTATGTGGGACGACAACGCTTCTGTCTTTTGGTGGAATCCTTTTCCTTCTAATTTAATTACCTGAGAAAAAATTCTATATTTTCTTAATTTCCTTTCTCTGTTGTTTTCATGGCTGACTATTTGAAGTTCTCTGTTCACTCAAGTGGTTCTTGCCTGAGGGAAGAAATTTTCCATTGTTAAACAGAATCATTTACTTACAATGATTGTTGTACAATTTTTCTGTTGTTATATGGAATTATTTACTTACAATTATTTATGGGTCCTTGGAGTTGTTTGGTTGCATTGTATATAAATGACACTCCCAGCAAATTTTTTATGTTCATCTAATAATGGTAAAGATTCATACCTTTGATTTTGTAGGAGCGATTTTATTGCTCGAGTAAAATATGTGTTTACCAAAGAACATGAAAAGGGCAAGTTTT